AGGCAATGAAATAAATTTCAAAACACACAAGAGACTCTGTAACAACTTGAAAAGTACTGCACACAATAACAAGGATAAACTGCACAGGCACAAGGACTTGTATGACTCTATTTTACCAAGTTCAAGAACAGGTGAAATTATCCCATGGCAAGACTGACCGGCATAGTTGTGTTGCCTGTGGGGAGAGAGAAAGGCAGAGGAAGAGCACCAAGGAGCCTTACCAGGCAAAGGAAACGCAACTGGGCGAGCTAATGGTGGCACAGGTGCCCAGACTGGACAAAGCTCCACCATTGTTACCAAATGCTTTCTAAGTTTCAACTGGAAATTTAAGAAAACTTAACAGATCAAGTTGTAGCAATTACGTGGGACACACTGTTACAAACTTCCAAAACTTCCTCCTTATTTAGAACTTGAAAGGAATCACTTTTGGACTAAAGTGACACACTAACAGGCACAGGAGGAATCAATAAAAATAACAGCAGCGAACATTTACACAAGTTTTACTATCTGCCAAATGTTTTACTTTCCTTAACTCATTGAATCCCACAGTGGTGAGATATTCTACCCATTTAATCCCCATTTTACAGATAAAGGAGCCAAGGCTAGGTCAAGATCATTGTTCAAGCTCACACAAACAATAAGAGGAGTAGCTGAAAAGCAAGTTGTATGTCAATGTCTCAATTCAATCTCTATTACCATAACACAAAAATAAAAATCAACGCACAGCTTCAAGCAAGGAAACATGAGCAGAATGTGTAATCCAAGTTCAATAATGTAAACAGCATACACGTTTTTTCTCTATTAAAAAGCACATCCTTGGCATCCAAGAATTGAAGCTCCTACTCATATTCCAAGTCACATGCAGCAGAACAAAATGTTACATAGAGGTTTGTTTGTTTGTTTTTAATTATCTCTGACCATCAAAATATATTACACAGTAGCTAAACTGTTAATCAGACTGGAGCTGACTTCAGAGTTAATCTTCATCTTAGAAGGCATGTCCCCGGTAAAGGAGGAAAATAAACATATTCTCAAAGAGGCTTCTTTATATTACAAACATGTATTGTGGGAACCTGATGCAGTACTACATGGGAATGAGAAGAAAAGAACTGTACTATCTACATGATTTTAGTTAGCAATAAAATACATCACAGCAGCCATCAAACACGCTGCTGCATTCCACATAAGCTGAAACTGTTCACATTGTGAGTCACAGTCTCAAGACGAAAATCAATTAACAATACCACCCACAAACCCCAACCCGTCCTCTGTGAAAAGTACACAAGAAGTGAACTGGGCTAGTACTCTGAAGAAAAAAATGTTTCCAAACTATACTGAGAGTAGAGGAAAAAGGGAGCAGAAGGAGACACACCAATGCTTCTCCACAAATCTGCTCCAGAAATTCTGCAGACTGTTTTTGGAAAATTATATTTTCATTTACTTGGAGCTGCTGGCAAGTCTGCTGCACAGAAATGGCTCAAAAATACTGAAGAGCCAACAGAGGTCCTTAAAAATGCTAGCAGAAAAGAGAGACGAAATGAATTTAAATTATATAAAAAGAAGAAACATAACAAGACCAGATGGAAACAAACGCATAAACTAAAATATGGCTATTCCAAACAAGCATTTCGTTTTTGTACAGGCAATCGGCATGCCAGAAAAGCCTGACTTTACTCTAAAATTTTAAGTCATATCACACAACATCCCAGCCCTTACAGGCAAGAGCACACTGTAATACAATTTCACATATTTATCCAAAGGCCATTTAAAGAAAACTTACCAAGGCTGTATACGCCTGTGCTCAGAGGGAGAGCAGAGCAGCTCTCTGTACTTACACTAGGGTTTCCTTCAGTGCTAAGAGCACATCACCACAGCCCAGCCTGTAATAAAGTGCCCCCCCCCCAGCAGTCCGCCTCTGGGTTGGGCTTTTCTCTTACAAGATAAGCTGTTAAGTCATGCCTTGATTTTAGATCTGCTAACATATGGAGCCTTCTATTGCAGCCTGCCATCCGCCCCCTCTGCTCCCCTCCCCATCACTACTCAGCTCCACTCCCTCTCCACACATACACATACACACATACAAAAAAGGCACTGCAGGGCAGAAATTCCTCAGGTGCTCGCTAATGGAATTCCCAGGGTCTAGGAGCCGCTTCGGGGATCAAGAGATCTCACAGCCCCTGCTGGGGTAAGGAGCAGCGAGTCTGTTCCATTTAATCAAATACAGAATGAATTTTCAGCTCTATTCACTAGCTTGTCTCCAGGGCTCTCAAAAGGCACCAGGCAGCTAGAATCACACACATGTGGCTCTTTTAGGCAAGTATAATTAGTTTGATTTTAAAAAGCCACATTAATAATATCACCTCAGGACCATTATTCAGGGGACAGATGACAATGATACTGTATGTTTTAAGCTTGACAATGGAGGGAAAGTGCACAAACAATGAGAGAAAACTTGAAGGATTTTTTTAAAGAAAAAACAACCCACAGCTTTTCATTTCAATGTAACCCAGTATTTTAAAAGTGACATTAAGTATATTCTTGTGTACTACCCCTTAATTTTAACAACAAACAAATACAGCCCTCCCCTCCTGTGCATAGCGGGTACACTTCACCTACACAATAAAAATTTATCCCACGGAAGTATTTGGATACAATGTAAAAGTAAATAAAAACAATGTAACCTTTTCAAATTCAATCTAGGTGAGCAAATCTCTTGAAAGCAGCATCAGTCAAAAACAAACAAATAAAATAACAGAATGTTAAAGAAATTCCTTCAAAGCAGTACCATTTGCAACCAGACTCCAAATTCCTATTTCAATTAGTTTGTATTAAGATCATTAAGCTAAAGAAAACCTACCTGTAGGCAATTCATTTACACTTCTAATGTACTGTCCTAGCTATAATTCTACACAGCAGAGATGCTGATCACATGTTAAAAACACACATTAAAACAACAAAATTTTCCAATTCGTTATCTTTTATCACTTTGATTCCTCCCTTGATTTCACAAAGATAATGCTTAATCCCGGAAATCACTTCCCTAGTATTTTACATAGGAACATTCATCAAATTTTAGTCTACACATTCACAAAAGAAACATTTTCAGAGAAGAAAACGCCTACTGTCATTAAAAAAAAAAGGAAATGAAATGGCTTGTAGAACCATGAGAGCATGCACACAAAGCAGAAAAGCAAGAGGAAAGTCAGAACCAGCTATTACATTTTACCTGACCTTTGTGGAGGGCCACCCTGTGATACAAGATCCTATCCCTGGGCACTCCTCTATATATGCCCTGATGATGGGGGAGGGTCCTATCTTAAGTGAAATTAACGCCTTCCACAAAACATCAAGCCACCTGCAAAACCTGCCAGAAGCAGGGAGGCTGCAGGAAATAACCTACTCAAGTTAGATCAGCGTACGTCAGGTCCTTGGATTCTTTGCACTGCTTGAAAGTCAGTGCTGTTTAAGTACTTTGCACAGCAGAGGCTGATGAGAACCGCAGTAGTCAATCAAAGCATCCCAAGTGAGTTACTACACAAACAATAGCACAGCACCTCTAGTGACTGGTTTTGCTAGGTGATTAAACTATTCAAAGAAAGACTTCCCAAATACTGTACCCGAGTTTTTGCAAGAAAGTTAAACAATATACATTTGTGTGTTTTATAGAAATATAAACGTTTCTCCTTTACACCCTGCCAAGCACACACCCAAGGCACGTCTTTACAAAATGAAACAGGTTTTCTCCATCCTTCTCATATAACTTGAAGCATGCAGCAATTTATTTCAACATGTGCGTAGCAGACTACAGTATTCAGTGCCTCTCCGAGTTTCTAAGAATTCTTGCAAGTTCAACACTAATTTAAAATTCCCAGAAAAATTTAGAAGATTTTTCTCTCGTCTTATCCTAAAAGTTAAAATATCCATATCCCACATATTCATCTGTAAGTAGACTGGAAAGGAAGAGTTATAAAAATGTAACAGAATATCTAGAATCATATTAAAAATAAGGCACCTCTTCTCCAGCCCCCTTCCCACCTCCTGCTGCCAAGAGTCCATTGGGAATCCGAGGGGTATGGTATCAGTGAGGCATGGACTCTGAATTCACTCAGCCCCTTTCATCATTCCTGGCGTTGGCCTGAGACCAAATCTCACGTTACCTTTTAGTCCAACCTCCTGTTTCCCAAGGTGTCTGATTAAGAATACAAAGCTGGCTTTCTGTTAATGAGGTTCCCTAAATTCGACAGCCCAGCTAGGGAGCAGCCTGCCCTTAAAACACCTGCCACCCTCTGTGGCCCCTGTAAGGAAAGGCAGGCATTCTGCGGAGGTCTTTCTCGAGGGCCTTCCACCTGATTTGGTGGGGTTAGAGAGAACAATGAAGCGAAGGGCAAGGAAGTCTATCTATCCCCCTCGGTGATTTATTACTGAAATTCCTAAAAGTGGAGAGAAAGCAACAAAGGTCTGACGCTGCAGGCTGAAATAAATAGCGATGTATTTAAAGTATTTAGTAAATGATAATGCGAGCCGCAGAAAGCTTTACAGAAGAGAAGGAAAAATACACTCCCTGGGGCTGGGAAGTCACTGAGTCTGTGAGGGCAGAGAAAGATACATTGTGCAGGAAATTTCTCTTGCTTCTCCCTACACATAAATCACTGTCTCTCCCCGGCACTCTGCGGGGATGGAGAGTAGAAACAAGAGTTGGCTCCCTAGGGAAAAGCGCCGGCGCCCTCTGCTACGCTGCATCCCACCTGCCCTGGCAGATCTCCGAAGAAGACCTCAGCAAGCTTGTCACTGACACCTCACCCCGCCTCCTCCTGCGAGGTGGCTCCAAGCGCCCCAGGACGCGGCGGCGGTGAGCCGGCTGCGGGGCATCCTTCAGCAGCCCTTCCACCCCGGACCCCTTGCATCCTGAAGGCAAACTGGCCTGCGCTTCCCCAGGACCTCCCGATCCCGAGCCGCGACCCCGGGCCACCCTCGGGGACCCTGCCGCGGGACCCCCGCACCTCTCCGCAGGGCTGGCTAAGCCCCCAGACCTCCTGCGCGGCAGCCGGCTCCGAGAGCCACCCCCAGGTCATCCCCCCGCGCGCTGGCGGCGGCGGCGGCGGCGGCGGCTGCGATCCGAACGGGCCCCTCCATGCACCGGGCAGGGCGGCCGGAGGGCGCGGCGACTCACACGCGGGGCGGGGGCGCTGGGGCGGCGCGAGGTCCCCGTCTCGTACCGAGCCGCGCGAGCCGGGCACCCGGGCTCCGGGAGGGGAGCTGGGGGGCGGAGTCCCGGGGCGCGCCCCCGCGGCCGCGCTCCTCCCCGCGGAGCGCGCGGACGCCCGGCACCAGAGCCGAGGGAGGAGGGCACCGGCCGAGACGGAGGCGGGCCGCAGAGGCCGGGACTCCCCGGCCCGCGCCCCGCCGCGGGGTGCGCGCGCAGCCTGCCAGATCAGCGGCGGGCAGGGCCGTACCACTGCTCCGAGGGGGGACGCCCCGCGCGCTGGAACTTGCGTGCCACCTGTCCCCGCGCTCCGCACCGACACCCCCGCGGGCAAGTGCGGGTGAAGTCTCGGGTGCTGCAGACCCGGTGAGGGTGAGCTGCTCAGGCGAGTTACAGAGGCGCCCGTCAGGTCCGCACTCACTCTCCCTCACCTTCGCTCGCCCCAGAGAGGCGGCATTCCTGCCCGGTGCACCCCACAGCACTTTCCCGGTTCCTGCCCAGGCCCCGCCCCGCCCCGCTCACCTAGCTCTTCCCTAGTGAGCCTGTGATTGAGATTCAACCACGTCCCTCTGCCTTTTCACAATTCCCTGGGTTCAGTTACTTAGGCAGCTTCCTTTTTGATTCCCCGGCTCACCCACGCTGCCTTCACTGGGGCAGGTGACAAAATTCTGAGAGATTTGGAAAGGCTCAGGATTGCCTTTTGGCCCAGAAGTCTTCTCAACTCATCCCTTGGACTTGCACCCAAACTGTTTGAGCTCAGTGAACATTAGTTGTTTAAAGAGAAAAAGGTGTTGGGGGGGGCAATTCCTAATTATGATATTCTGTGAGAAGTACCTGCCACTCCTTGGGCATCCTAGGATTGTAACTTTTAATAATAATAGCTATTATTATTAGTTTCTTTTAACTCGATGGTTATTACTATGAATTTAAAAAGAGTTTTAATGATGGTGATACTGGTGGTCACAGTTCTGTACTGAGCTTCAAAAGAATGAGCCTTATCTTTTTGCTTTAGTTAGAGTACAGAGTATTTCTGAATACCTTGGAGAAGAAAAAACGTATAAAAAAGGAAACAAAGAAAAAAAGCTTTAAATTCTGCTTGCCCTCCCTTGTTCCATATTTTTAAGATATTCAGGCAAGATACAGAAAGATATTTTTATTCAGCAACGACACCTTCCTATAGAAAAAATAAGATTTAACAGAAATAAATTTTGTGCACATGGAGTAGAAGTCTAGTGGCATTCTAAAGAATTCTCTACATCCCCTAGACACCGGCCTCTACAAACACATCCAGCTTCTTCTTTGGGCACCTCCTCCACCTAAATCTAATAGTGCTATTCAAATATCACTATTCCTAACATTACTCAGAATCAACCCTGAGAAACTTGTAGGTCAGATTCCTCTTCTACTGCCTAATTGTAAATTGGACAAGTCATCTCAGATGCAAAATGGTTTTTCATTAATGAACCACTTGTTCAACATGTATGTTAAAATTAGTAAGTACTTACTCCATGCCACCAGTAGACACAGGAGTACATAGGAAAATATTACGTATCTCAAGTTTCAGAGAACTCACAATTTACCAGGCTTTCTCTTCTTTTGGGCCACCAACCAGCTCCCAAATCATGACACGGGACTTACAAGTTTTGAATGCTTTAGGCTTCTCTCTGGCCAGCTCTTTTAAAGTAACCTGCTTCTTTTTGTCTACCTTTTTCCTTGGGGCTTTTTGCTTTTCTTTCCTTCTGTATATCTTACTTTCACTGTTTCTAGTGTCATACTGGCTGGAGGCTTCCTGGCTTCTTGCCCCGGGTTTGTTCCTCTCTCCCTCATTCTTTCCTCTCCTCTCTCCTCCTCAAGCCTAGATTTCTCCTCCTCCTTATTCTCTCTGCCTGGCAGCCTTTCCTGCCTATCTATTGACTGACCATTCAGCTTTTTACTAGACCAATCAGGTGCCTTAGGCAGGCAAGGTGAAACAAATGCAACACATCTTTACATAATTAAACATGTGCAGTGCAAACAAATGCAACACATCCTTACATCATTAACAAAGGCAGCAGAAACAAATGTAACACACCTTTACACAGTTAAAGTAGTATTCTACAGCGTAAACAAATGTAACGTCTTTACAAAGTTAAAATAATATTCTGCAACACACAATCTCATATACAGATAAATACACTGGGACATCTTCCATGCAATGCTCTGTGGCACATAAAGGCAGTGTAGCCAACTCTGTCCAGAGTTTGGGAGTGTGGCTCTTTATAAAAAGGGTTCCCGAAAGAAGAGAGAGGGAATTGGCCAGCTAAAAGTGTTTAAGACCAAAGATGGTCTGGACAGGGAGCACACTGTTAAAGGCAGTTAGAAGTAAGCACAAGCCAGTTCACAGAAGCCCATGTGGATTATATGAAGGCATTGGAAAACCAGTGCAGGGTTTAGAGTGGGCAAGAGATATAAGAAAACTGTATTTAGAGCATCATCTAGCATCAATACAAGAATAGGTTTGAGGGAGTTTGGATGCTTCCTGCTGTGGTATGAGTGTGCCCCAAGGTCTTATGTGTTGTAATTTAATTCCTGTTGTGAGGTATGAGAATAAAAATGTATTATAGCTGGTATTTACAGGATGGGTCTTTGGGGAGTGATTAGGATTGAATACTATCCTGATGACTATGAAAGGAGAGAGAGAGAAAGAGAGAGAGAGAGAGGCACTAGAAAGAAAGGTACACATATATTCCCATCTTTGGCTATACAATGCCTTGTGCCACCTCAGGACCCTACCTGATGAAGCCCTTACCCCAGTTGTTCTCAATCTTCCTAATGCTGTGACCCTTTAATACAGTTCTTGGTGTTGTGGTGACCCCCAATCACTGCTACTTCATACCTGTAATTTTGTTACTGTTATGAATCACAATGTAAATATCTGTGTTTTTGATGGTATTAGGCAACCCCTGCAAAAGGGTCATTTGACCCCCCCAGAGGGATTGTGACCCATGGGTTGAGAACTGCTGCCTTAGACCTCACACTTCAGAACCATGAGACAAAAGACCCAGTCCGTGTTTCTTTGTTATTAGCAATAATAATAAAGATGGACTACTCTGCTGCTTTAGGACTAGCCAGGCAGTGCAAATCAGGAGCAGAGGCTTGTAGACATAGACTCAATCCACTTCTGCCCACGCCACATGTCCCAGTGTATTCCCTAACTTCCTCAAAACAGTACTACCAGCCAGAGATCAAACCTTCAAGCACGAGACCTTGTGGAACACGTTTAACATTCAAATCATAACACTGTGAAGTCAATCCCCAAGCACAGTTCTACTGGGTGGAGAAATCCAAGCTGGACTTATGTTTGAAAGTGATGAGTATGTATTAGGTTTTAAATTATTATTTAAAAAAACTTAATCAACTTTTAAGGTGGTGTATTTGGTTCACAGGATGGCTTGAATGACAATGGCACCCAGAGGCTCATATGTTTGAATGAGAGTGGCCCCAGAGGCTCATATATTTGAATGACAATGGCACCCACAGGCTCATATATTTGAATGACAATGGCACCCAGAGGCTCATAGGTTTGAATGCTTGGTCCCCAGTAGGTGGAAGTGTTTGAGAAGGATTAGGAGGTGTGGCCTTGTTGGAAGAGGTGTGTCAGTGGGCTTTGAAGTTATAAAAAGTGTGCCTCTCTCCGCCTCCTATTTGTGGATCGAGATGAGACTGTTCAGCTGGTCATGCTGCCATGTCTTTGCTGCACCAACATAGACTCCAAACCAGTGGTTCTCAACCTGTGGGTGGCAACCCCTTTGGGGGTCAAATAAATGACCCTATCATAGGGTTTGCATATCAGATATCCTGTGTATCAGATATTTTCATTGCTATCCATAAAAGTATCAAAATTACAGCTCTAGAGAGGAGGAGGGAAGGGGAGTAGGGAAAAATATATATAGCTCAATTTAAAAAATGACAAAAAATTACAGTTATAAAGTAGCAATGAAACAGTTTTGTCATTGGGGGTAATCCACAGCATGAGGAACTGTATTAAAGGGTCACAGCATTAGGAAGGTTGAGAACCACGGCTCTAAACCTTTGACACCATAAGCCCAATTAAACACTTTATATCTTCAAGTTACCTAGGCCATGATGTTTTGTCACAGCAATAGAGAGGTAACTGCGCCAAGAGGTTATAAACCACAATTGATTGTCATCATTGGACTTGTGCCAGGGCAACAGCAAATTCAGGGGCCAAGATGCAAAAGAGGAAAGAAAGGCACTGGGTTCCAGATTTTCTTTAAAGATTTGCTCCAGTGACCAAAAACCTGTCGCTGGACCCTGTCTCTTCTTACAGGTGCTACTACCACTTCTGGGCGACATTCCTACCCAGCCTACAGCAAATATAGGGTAGCATTTACATCACAAAAGTTGAAGCGACCACTGAGGAGTAATATGGAGTTGTAGAAAGTTCTAGCTGGTGGTAGATCTTTAAACCTCCAGTATCTAAAAAACCCCTAATGAATTTAAAGTGAAGGTGTTTGGTGAACTCAGGCTGTGGGAATAATGTTTGAGGAAGGTGTCAAAGGCTCAGAATATTCATTAGGAAAAATAAGAGTTGAAACATTAAATCTAAAAATCATTCACAGGATTGGCTACTGATGCCGAGGCCATCCATAGGTGCCGTTGAGGACTGTGCATTTACAGTGATAGTCTGCATGACTGTGTGGATTTTCTTCGTCAGAGTAACGACTCAGGCAGAGAAAGCGTAGCAGTCCAAATTTGGAGTTTTGCTGAGGGGTGTGTAGGAAGAGAACACTGCAGAGAAGTGGCAAGAAACTAATTAAATCGTCAGTCATAGAATCGAAACCGTGAGCTGGGAGAGGTAAGGAAGATCAGACAGGAAGAAAATGGCAGATTTTTAAAAAAAGGACATTTCTTTCAGATTAAAAAGCAGTTATTACAGGATGGGGGAGTGGTCTTTGTTATGATCACAGATTACATTTTAGAAGCAGAGAGTCGTCAAGTACTAAAGTTACTTATTAGAAGTAATGATGGTGCTACCAAATA